TCATTGGGATGCATTTCTCCTGAGCTTGGAGGAGGTGATCCTTGAATACTAACCAGCTTTCTTGGGCCCCTCTTCCCTCCAGGGCTTTGTCCCATTGTACACTCTATCAAGCAGATGCCTAAAGAGGCCAGCCGCTGCTCTCCTGAAGTCCAGGGTAGCGAGCTTGCTGTGCGCCCTCCTTGTTGCCCTGAGGATCTTGAACTCCACCATTTCATGGTCACTGCAGCCAAGGCTGCCCTTGAGCTTCACATTCCCCATCAGCCCCTCCTTGTTGGTGAGAACAAGGGCCACCATGGCACATGTCCTCGCTGGCTCCTCTACCACTTGAGGAAGGAAGTTACCATCAATGCATTCCAGGAACCTCCTGGATTGCTTACGCCCTGCTGTGTTGTCCTTCCAACAGATACCAGGGTTGTTGAAGTCCCCTGTGAGGACCAGGGCTTGTGAACACGAGGCCATTCCTATCTGTCTATGGAGGGCCTCATCTGCTTGGTCTTCTGGTCGAGTGGCCTGTAGCAGACCCCCACTATAGTGTCCCCTGCCCTCCCTATAATCCCGACCCATAAGCTCTTGGTCAGCTCCTCACCCATCCCCAGGTGGAGCTCCATGCACTCCAGCTGGTCATTGGCATAGAGGGCAACACCCCCTCCTCATCTGCCCTGCCTGTCCTTCCTAAAGAGCCTGTATCCTTCCATTCCAACACTCTAGTCATAGGAGCCATCCCACCACGTCTCGGTGATGCCAATGAGATCACAACCCTGCAGGCGTGCACACGTCTTCATCTCCTCGTTTATTCCCCACACTACGTGCATTTGCGTAGAGGCATTAAAACTGGGCCCATGATGACGCTGACTGACTGGCTGGAATTCCTTTGTGCTGCACTTCAGATGCTCTCCTGCTGACCTGTGATCCTTGTCCTGGCTCTGGGCATCAAACTGGGAAGAGTGGGATGGATTGAGGTTCTCCTCCCCTGGCAACTGTAGTTTAAAGCACTCTTCACCAGCTTATCTTTTCTATCAAAATATAAGTGTTCTCTGTTACATGAAAGACTGAGCTTTGTTTTCCAGGAAATGAAGAACTGGGAGTAAATCTCAAAGCAGATTTGTTGCAGTGGCTGCCTGTTGTGCTCCTGGAGAACCTAAACAGGGCAGCTGAAACAAAACTGTGCTCATCCTGGTATGCAAATGAACCAAAAGATAACAGATAAAGCCACCAAAGGATACATTAAATCCAGAGGCTTTTATGTAGAAAGATGGATCATGTGAAAGATTTACTACTTCAATTCCAACTAATTGATTTCTGTTGCTTAAATTAGAGCAAAACCTCAATGCTACCATGTATCCGAACTCATTCGTTCTTAGCTTACAAAGCAGAATGCTGTAATTAACTAAATTGAATGTTTCTTGAAGCTCTTCTAAAGAAAAGACTAATTTGCTTACAATGCATTGGATAGTCTGTCTAAATTGGCTGGCATCCTTCCAGCTTCAAAGCAGCTGAGATTTGAAATCATTATGGGAGGAAGTATTCCAGATTTCCTATTTTGGTTACTCTGCTCTGGGTGTCATAGAAGAAAGAAAGTGATAAGAGAATTGTGGTGATTTTTCTGTAGTAAGATAAAATAAACCCTGTAAAAAATCAGAGAATTTGGGAAATTGTACATCTTGAAACAGCAAAAACAATTCCCCTTCTAGAATTCTTTCAGCATCATACCACTAAATGGCAAAGTTCCATCAACTGTTCTTTCCTTAGTCTTCCAGTATCACCACTACATGTGCTGGAAAAGATGCTCGTCTTTGCACTGGTCTTTTTCACCGAATGATCAGCTGCCCGTGTGAAGCCACATAACTGCTGCTGGTCCAGAGATTGAGCTATTGTGCTTCATCTCCGTTGGAAAGTGAATATTAAAATTGTAATTACCTATGGTTTAACTTATTAGTACTGCACAAGGAACAAGTAACTGTTTTGTTTTTTTTTAAACTGACTCATGAAGTGTGGTATACATAGAGATGTGTTGGTAGGTCTTGGGTGCTGTGGAGCAGAAGCATCTAGAGATTATAGGAATATCAAAGAAATGAAGAATATTAAATGTCATTTAGGTGGTAAACAAATGATATACTGAAAAATCAGTATTTACTTTTTTGTAAAAAGTTTAATCATCTTTATATCCTACTGCCTTCAGTTACAATATTTAAGTGCATTAAGGTACAAAATTTCATTATGCTTATAGTAATTATTTCTTGAGATGATTTCGTCAGAATCTTAGTACTTTTTTACATGTGTAATGATTAGAAAACCAGAATGAAAATACAGAACAGTTATTTGGCCAAGTATGAGTCCTGTTGCTTTATTCCATTTGCATAAAAATTTCTTTGATGTATCAGGAATTTTGAGTGTGTATGTAGATGATTATAAAAATGGATTTCTATCTGTCTTGTAGTTGCTATAAAATAAAATTTCATTTTGAAAAATAATGCATTAAAGTAAAAAAAAAAGGGAGGAAAGCTTTTCAATATGGGTCTCATGCTATTCTGTGTAGCTTTTTGGGGAAGGAAAAAAAAAGCAAGAGATTGAAAATTGCATTTTCCCATATTCAAGTTTGGTGGTAAGTAAAATAAATTGGAATATCATGTCCTAAAATGAAATGGAATTGGATTATTTAAAATATGATATAATCAGCTTCAAATATAATTATTCTCAGAGTTCCCTGCCTTAGTATTTCTTTGTATTTCTTGCAGCTTTTTTAAAATTTAACTGCTAGGATTACTTTTTACCACTGCATCTCTCAAATGCTAAAAGATCTTTGCAAACTTTTATTAATTCCCTGAAAACAGGAATCTAGGTTTTTATCCTAATGTGCCAACCTGTATCGCTCTGGTGATGAAGTGGGAGCTACAAGCAAAGCACCTGGTCTCAAAATAGAACAGTAATAACTTATTTGTAATACATCATGAGTGACTCATGCCCTTCTACACTTTAAATTCTCTAATCCTCAAGTTTCATTCTTTGCTCTGTAACTTTGGGTAGGAGCTAAGTGTTTTAGGAGTTGATTTCTGTATGGGACCTACCTTCAAAATATTTTGGTTTCCCCAGCTAGATCTAGCTAAATAATGATGTGAGAAATATACTCAATACCTAGAATTAAGAAATGGAAGGAAGGAAAATAGGAAACGTGTTATTAGTCTCCTTTTTCTCACCATAAAGTGTCATAATAATTTGCATGTGATTCCTTGCCTGTCTCCGTTTTATCCTGAAGAGGGGAGGGGGTGGCAGTCTGGCTTGTTCTGCAGCTCAGGATGGCAGTGCAGAAACAAGAGGTGGACATCTTTGCTGTGTTGTGTCTTCTTCCAGGACTGGAACTTGAGTTCCCCTTGCAGTTACTCTAGGGAACGTTGTGAGGTTGGCTTTTCCCTCAATTTCAACAATGGGCATCTCTTTGGATTCCTAGAGATCCAAATGCCCCACTAATCCTCACAGTGTGTTATGCTCAGCAGAGTAAGGGGTGTATCTCTAAAATTAAGGTTTTTTATATGTCGGTGAATCTAGCTTAATTTTTCTTGTCTCTTCTCATACCTGCTGGCCATGGTCTCTGTTGTGATGCCGTGGAGGAGCTACAGAGCACTTGGTTTTCAGATTTGTTTGTAGAGAAGATGGTTGAATATTATGTGTGCCAGTGTGTTTTAAGTGTTCAGGGTATTGTTTGTTTTTAACAACTTTATTGAAATGAAATGTTTTACCTTATGACAGACTTGCAAAAAATAGATTTATGTAGAAATGTTTTAATTGTTAACACAAAGGACCTTATATCAAAGTGTAATAGATGATGCCAATGCTTATTTATTTTGGATGAAGATAACTGTGGTTATGGCATTAATATTAAGATTATTTTGTGGCAACAGCAGTTACAGCAGTCTGTGCTGAAATTACAGAAAATACGAATCTCTTTTTGTATCTGAAGTAGGCTTTGTCTTTCGCAGCGGGGAATATACAAAAGGGGCAGGTTTCTTCAAAATTCCTGCCTTCTATTATTTTTTTAAATGCAGAGCAAAATAAAAAAGTGTAGACTTAAACCAATTCTGTCAAACAGTTCAATACAGAAGGATTTGGGTTTATTTGTTTGAAAAATAAATATATTAAATAGAACATGAATTCTGTAAATAGTGGAAAAAGTAAGAAACAGACAAAACATTTTTAATGAAAGCACTCAGCCTTTTTCATGCTCTGAATCTACCTTTATTATGTTAATCAAATTCCATGCAGTTCCCAGCAGGGGTATGTGAAAATTATCTTTTCCATTAAATGAATACAGAATATTTGCTGCATATCAAGAAGCTGGTTATAGCTCTTTGATCTTTGTCCTGGTCCAGAGGTAGATCAGAGCAGTTATTAAGATTCCCTAACCTATGGGGTGTCCCCTTGTCCTCCTGGATGGCTGGGGGTGAGATGGCAGGCAGATGTGCCAGCCCTGGCCCACTGGGGACTCAAGTGTGGAAACCACTTGCTTTCCATTCCCACTGTGAATGTAAGGCTCTTCAGCCCCAATGGTCCCAATATAACTCAACTTCGAACGCCTCCAGGGTACCCTGACAGGCGTTCTTTTGGGAAAGAATGAAGTGCATATCGTTGGGCTGGTGAGAGGAAATGAGAGAAGTCTAATTTACTTCTAGTTTATTTACTGATATTTTACAGATAGATAGCTGGAGGTAACGAGCTCTTTAAATCAAGCCTCCTCTTCAGAAGGCCCACTAAAGTAGTAAAAGTTAAGTGCAGTGAATCTCTGTAAGAAACAGTCTCTAGGAAAACTAGAAAAGGTGAAGTTTGCCACTCTTCTTTCTATACAATATGCTCCTCTGTTTTCTCTGCGTGTCTGATGACCGTAAGAGTTAAATATTGCATTTTCTGTCTTAGTTGGTGCCTCTCTAATAATTTCTATCAAAAGTTAGAAAAAGTTTTGTGGGATTTCTGTGGGAACAGTATATATGCTATCCTATATTTTGCTTCAGGATAATGTTTTGAACATCATAAATCAAATCATGGATGAATGCATTCCACATGAACGGGCCAACCGAGACTTTTGTGTTAAGTTTCCAGAGGAAATACGCCATGACAACCTTGCAGGACAGCTTTGGTTTGGAGCAGAAGTAAGTATCTCGTATTTCTATTACTTGGGGTTAATTGACAATTTTTTTGTGGTGCAAAGCCAGAAGTTTAATGTACAGCTTGAGCCTTTTCTGAAAACGGTACGTATAATTACAGAGGAAGGGGATTTTTTAACTATGGTTTTGGTATTGGTTGGGCTAACAGCATACCAGTGTTTTTCATAATTGTTTGCTGTCATTATCACTACCTCTTAAAAACTATTGTGAATTAGCATATCATTAATATTCTTGATTAATTATTTTATCCTGATGGGCCAGCTTGCATCTCATGCTTTGAAAGTCTTAGAAACAAAGATATATAAGGGAATTTTATCAGGATAAGTTTATCTCTAACAAATATAAGTGCTTCCTGTCACTGTATTTTAGTGGCTATATTATGTTATAACTCATATTAAACATACATAACCTGATTTGTTGCACATAATTCGCTTGTTTCATGTGTATGCTAAAACTATAATGGTTTCTGTGTGAAACATTGAAGTCCACTTTTCTTCTTTTACCTGGTTTGTCTCAAAGATCTGCTTCTACAGCAACCTGTAGAACAAGGGATTTTTGTAGTGAATAAACTTTGTTTTACCCAAGAGAAGCCTGAAGTGTCAGAAAACAGGATGCGATATGCAAGATACTTATTCATTAGTCCTGATGTCTGTTAGCTTAAAAAAAAAAAAATCATTATGGTATGTTTAATGATAAATTTAGTGTCTTCAGGTCTGAAGGTGACTTTAAGCATTACAGATTTGTTGAGAGTTGGGAGGGAGTAGTCTACATATCCCCTCACACAATGCGCATTGTGGTGGCGTTTCCAGCTTTGCCTCTACTGTATTTGAAGCAATCCTTCGGCTCCTGCTATTGTCCAATCTTTTCTCTACCAGTTCTGCCTTTCTTCTTGAAGTGCATGCTCTCCATCAGTAGTTCCTATCTTGGTCAGTCCAATATGCTTCTGTATGTTCTGGTTTTGACAGTTTTTCATTGTAGTTGTTTCCGAGTCAGGGAAGTCTCGGGTAGAATTTACAAAATCAATTTGATCTGTCAGTGCTTTATAATCCTGTCCTCAGCAAAAGCACTAGCAATTTTTCTTTTGGTTATCATGTGACCTTCACCGCTGTCATCCAGGTGACACCATGCTCAGTTTTAAAGTGCTGAACGTCTGACACGTTGGCTTCATGGTGCTTCCTTGGCAGTGAGGTAGGAGAAGATGGGATAATTCTGCAGCCATCCATAATGAATCTCTCTGAATCCTGTTATCCTTTCTTACTCTAAGGGACTAATAAACCGGGAGTACAGCAACAAACAAACAGGAAAAATGCCAGCCAATGTAGTAACTTCTCGCATTGTGGAAAATGCTTGAGGGGGTCGCTGAGACAGCCAGTGTCTTCTAGGAGGAGAATAGGTCTCCCATATACACTGTTTGTATTACATTAGCTAATGCCTTTACTCTTTCCAAATCAAACTTTTGCTGTCTCCAAATCGAACCAACATGCTGAAGAGACCTGTTGGTTTCAGAGGAAGTAATGAAGAGGCAGTGATGAAGTAATGCTAACTCATATGACTGTAGTCACTGTCCTCCTGTAAGTTGCTGTAGTAAGGAAGACTATGGACTGTTAAGAATATACACTTACGTGTCCTTGTCAGTGCAATCGCTCTGAGTTATCAGACTAAGAGTACCCATCAACAGGTAAGACTTGCCTTATCCATGGTTTCCACAAATACTGCTTTGGGTGATAAGAGGCAAGACCACGATCTTCTCTGAGTGCCCTTATATCACGAATTGATGTATCAGGCTGCTGAGCAAGGGCTGGGATTGCAGGTCCCCCCTACAGAGCTGCACAAATGCCTTCCGTCCGGGGGAGAGGGACACAGAGCTGCAAATGGAGATTAAAAAAAAGAAAATAAGAGAAGTTTGAGACTAGAATAACCTTTATATATTTTCAGTTAATAAAAATATTTCCATTAATACAGCAAGTATGACTTGTATCAGTATTTGTTGTCTTCTGAATGTATCCATAAAGGAATAAAGCCAGCAGCAGAGATTACTAATTAGCTTGGTTTTAATAGCAAGATTTAAAAAAAGATTTATTGATGTGTTGGAGTTAAAGTCTACTTTTAATGTCTTTGTGAGCTAGTCAGAAGGAATCCATGTATAATTCTTGGGGCAAGGAGTCTCTTAAATACTTGCTTTCCAGAAACTGAAAGGGAAGAATCACTCTGTGACCTGGTTTTATGTTCTTTCCTATAAAATATTTTAATGGCTTCTGTGGGAGGCAGGGTACTGGTCTAGCTGGATCCCTGGTCTGACAGCCAGTGTGACCAGTTTTGCTGCAAAAGTCATCGCAGTTCCAGAATTTCTGTTCTTTTTGTAAAGAATAGATTTATTTTACAAAATGAAGCTGTCTAGCCTGAATCAACACATTCCATTGATCATACTCTAGCTAAATTCACATCCCTTTATGCTTGCAGTCCTTGCATACATAGAGTATATATCCTACCAATACTTATTGCCTAACTAGTGGGAAAAGAACTTTTTAAAGTTCGTCAGCTTTGCGGTTCTTGCACTTGAACCTTCCTCTGTTCTTGTGTCTCCCTGACTGAGCTGCTCCCTAACCTTTTATGTGAAGGCTTATGACTCTCAGCATACTTCTTTAATAATTTGCAACAAATTGGGACTAAGTACTGCCCCCATTCAAAGTATTAAATATCACATTTTGTGGGGGTTTTTTTAAACAGAACAGTAACTTTGTAAAAATTAATATTTTCTCTCAATCTATTTCGTAGTGTTTGGCTGCTGGTTCTATTATTATGAATCGTGAAATTGAGAGTATGGCTATGAGGCCGTTGGCCAAGGATCTGACCCGAAGCCTGGAGGAAGTTAGAAATATCATTCGTGACCAGGCCTTAAGGGATTTGAACCTCTACACAGAAAAAATGAAAGATTCGCTCAAGCATTTTGACGTCCTTTTTGCTGAATTTGAATTAAGGTAAAAGATCTAAAGTAAATGCATTGTGAGTATTGGCTTGGCTATGACAGCTGTTGTGTGGCTTGTTGGGTTTTGGAAGTTGTCTGTTTTGTTCTGTTCTTATGGAAAAAGTACGTATTTTTTTTTTATCATGGTATTTGAATTCTTCAGTAATTTGTTTTGTTAGATATTTTTCCTTCAAGTGTAGCAATAATGAAAAGAAAATTAAATAGCTTTTTAGCAATCAACATTTGCTCTCTTCTACTAAGCTATAATCTTCCATTTGCATACTGGCACATGGCATTTGAGGTATGTTTTCCAAGACAGAAAAGAAAGCCATAGATCTCTTCCCTTAGTGTTTTCTTTGTCAGAGGAAAGGTGACAAATAAGAGATATTAAAAATAAAAAAGATAACAAATAATCTAGAGATTATGAGGTTTTGTTTTCTTGTGCTTAGAGATACAAGCAATATGCACCCAGTGAATTTAAGAAGGCAAATTGAAATCTGATGAAGGAAGTTCTTTTACACAAGCCATAATTAACCGTAGGAACTCACTGATGTAAAAACTTGTGATTGAAAAATGGCTTAGAGATTTATATCAAAAATAACTACTTTTGGGGTAAGAAAAGTAATTGCTTAATTGCATCAAAGGTCACAATGACCAAATTTTGCATTATGCTTCAGAATTTAAGCCAGCTTTCTGCGTGTCTGTTAGATGTATGCGGTGCTGGACATAGTTACAGACAGTATACTGGACAAGATTATCTATGGATTGAATGTAATACAACCATTTCTACCCTCAGCAGAACAGATTTCTGAGAGTTGGGTAGAGTTTTAAATGTTTCTGGGGAATAATCCCTAGACTGTCTTGTCTCCTGTTACTGATTGCCCTGCCTCAGTATTCGTATTCTCTTGCATGATTTTATTCAGGTAAGCAATTTTTTCTGATTCGAAAAACTATCATTATACTGTTACATTGAAAATCATTTTAATTGAAAACATTGGCTAAAAATGTGGTTTTAAGTGTGACTTTGAGTGCAGACACTGGTAATCAGTAACTGGTTCTTCACAGTGCCTGCGCACAGTTTCTGGCCTCTCCATACCAACTCTCTACATACAGCATTTGTCTTTGCTGTTGTTTTGCGAACAACTTTTTCCCTTCCAGGGTTACCAAATAGTACCCTGTAGTCTACAAATGACTGATTAAGCCATGTGGTGACAGAAAACCAATGTTTCTTGCCTTGTGAATTAGTGCTTTTGCATGTAATTCCACATAAAAATGACACCAACTTTTAAGTCTCCTAAATCGTCTCTGGCTGACTGAATTTCACTAATATAACTTCAGGTAAAACTTTTCTAGATAAAATGTGCATTTTTGTATTTCCTTAAAAAAAACTGAGTAAACTATCAAGATGTGGCAATAAAGATCCATCTAGGACCTACCTCCCTGTGCCACACAGTATGGAGTTCCAATTGCTAAATGTGTGCAGTTATAAATTACTAGTGAGTTCCACTGCCTCAATCTGCAATAAGTAAATTAGCTGCATTTCTTAGATTTGTACACTATACAATTTTCATAGTGAGTGCTGTCAGAATAAATACAAAATGATACAGGAAGGCTTATGTTTGTAAGATGATTTGTCCTAGGTTTGTTTTTATTTATAATCTGATTTGTTAAAGTAAGACAGTAGTACTTTATTTTATAATCTTTGCAGTTATGTGTCGGCCATGGTGCCTGTGAAGTCTCCTAAAGAATATTATGTACAGCAAGAGGTAATCGTACTTTTCTGTGAAACTGTGGAGAGGTAAGCATTGTAGTTAAGTACTAGACTTTCATTTCTGTGTTTATTTTCAGTCTGAGCTTTTGTAGAAATATTTTAACTGTAGTCTTTAAGAAGCATCATAAAACACCAGGTATTTTGTTTTTCTAGTAAGTATCCAAGTGCAAAGTTAAAAAGCAGTAAGCATGCTTGCCGGGCACAAGGTTATGCTTTCTTGTTTTCTAGACCAAAAAACCCCCAAAAGTTAATAATTCAACAATAACAATACTGTTGGTATGCCTAGTTTTAGATGTGTAAATGAAGACTAAGCATTTAAATAAGCTAAATCTGTTCAAGGTATCAAGACTTAATGATGTTTCATGCAAGAATACATGGGGAGATGATTCAAATCACCTGTGAACCTCTAATGATTATCATAAAGAACTTACAAAAGCTCTTTAAAATCTTAGAGGACTGGAGCTTGACTCTATATGTATGAAGAGATGATGTTAAAAAGACCCCAAACAACCCATCAGTTCAAATTCTTTTAGGAGTATAAGATGATAACAAAAATTGAATTTGGAATGTGTGTTGAACAACTTTTTTTCTTTTTCCCCTGTGTCCTGTGACAGAGTGAGTAGCCTAGCAGGTGCCCAGCTTTAGTGAGGTTTTGAGCAGTGCAACACTCTTCTCAAAAGGAAACTAGTGAACCGTAGTCTGTGTGGAATTAGTAGAGACTAATTGACTGTAAAACGCACAAACCAACAAAAGTGTTGGGTTTACTGTCATATTAGGAGAGCTTGTGAAGCAGGACCCTGGGTCTGGTGTGGTCTGTACTACGGAATGAAGGAGGACAGAGCACGCTGCCACAATCTGTAGATGACATTGAGATCAGAGGCATTTCAAGCATCTTAAAAGACAGGTTTACAACTGAAAATTGTCATAAGTAGGAGGAATTACTTTGATCAGTCAGAGAGCTACTACATATGCATGTATTTGCCCAGTAAGAGGAATAAAAAGGCTTCTCACTCGCAGCTTTGGATAACCTGGCAGTGGACTGTAGGAAAGATCAGGCAATGAGAGTGGGCCATACACCCATGAGTCCGTCTACCGCTGGTGCAAAGCAGTGCTTGCTTTGTGGTCGTTTTGGTGTCCACACACAGCAGTATTGGCAAGACAAGTTCTGACAAGGAATAAAACCAAGTTATTTCTATTTGATTTAGGCCAGTAGGGTCTCAGCAGAACTAGTGTGCAGTTTTGAGTGTTATCTCTACACGCTGATATGGACAAATTGGAGAAGAAATTTGAGGAAGTTATGAAACTTATAAGGAAATTAGGAAATTGTGAAGAAACTTGGAAAACATAGCCAAGTGAAAAGCCTAAACAAATTGGGTTTTAGTCTAAAACAGGCATAAGATATTTGAAAAGCTATTAGAGGACAATGAAGTGTCCCCCAAATATTAAATCCTCAGACTTCAATAACAGTTGCTATATAGAACTGGGTTATTTTAGTTTGGTTTGTTAGTTTAGGGGGGAGTTGACCTAGAAGATTATAGCAAGTTTTACATGAAAGTGAAATCAAATACTTTCCCCTATTACTTTAAAAATGTTTCTTTTAGTTGAAAAACTCTAAGCACCAGCGGTTTTCAGTAACAAGCTGGAGCTTGGCATGAAATAGTAAATAAAAAAGGAAAATGGCATGAAAATTATTTTGGTTTTGGATGGCTATAAAAGCTTTAAGTGTTCAAAGATTTTTTCTTTTTTTTTTTTAAAGCAGTGACTACAGCAGTCAGTTTACATAGTGGTTTAGATTGTGCAAAAATAGTTTGAGTTAAATACTATCAGTTTGGTTTGCCTTAATTTTTTTTCAAATTTTTTCCTATTGAAATATATTCTTTGAGAATTTGATCTCTTACTAAACAATTTTATTCTTCTGCTTAGAGCCTTAAGGCTTGGATACCTCACTCAAGATATGATAGATGACTATGAACCAGCTTTAATGTTTACAATTCCACGATTAGCCATTGTATGGTAAGTAAAAATTTTTTTTTACTGCTCGCCACTCTGCCTCACTTAAAGACTTATTGAAGATTTTTAAAAAAATTGTTCAGAACTTTGGTATATTTTTTCACCTGAGTTTGCTTGTACTTTAAAAAAAAATAATCAAAAATGGAGAGTTATGTTTTGTTTTTTTAAAATCATTACCAGTTTCCTGTAGAATATGAAGGGTAAAAAAGAAAAGAGAAGGTGGGACTCTAAGTATAGAAGGCAGGAACCTGAAACAATTGATCAGTCATCCTCCAGAAAGAAACAAAAAAATTAAGAATATCAGTCTATAGAATGTCACGTTGTCAGAAATTTCTTGAAAGCAGATATTTTGTGTCACTCAAAATAATATGACCTAAGGATATAAGTTTTGAAAACAAAAAATTTTCGGTAGGAATTGAGTCGTTTTCTTAGTGACTCTAGGTTCAAAAGGAACTGTCATGACAAACTACATTGCGACCACTGAGTTAAGCTTAAATCTTTTTCAAGACAAGCATTAACTTGTATACCTTATGTAGGTTTTGTGCCCTGTATTGGCCACTCAAGATGACTAAATTAAAACAGGTTGTATGCTTCATGCAGTTTTGGCAATATTGAACAAATTAGATGCATTTTTTGTAATGAGTCTTTGTGATTAAATAAGACAGCAGTTTCTCTGGAGTAAAGCCAGCGTATTTTTAATATTTTACCATTGTGAATGTTTTAAAGTTACTAATATAAGTAGTATAATTGAGGGAAATAAGAAACCTCAAATCCTGAGTGTAATATGCTTCTCCTCAGGAAATCCCTGTGGCCCATTGTTACTGTTAAATAGGATATTGCCTGTAACTGTCATTCTAAAAATAACAGTAGTAATCTGGTTATCAAAAGACAACGGGAATGTGAGAACGCAGATTGAAGCTGCTGGAAGACACAATGAAGAAGAATACATCATGACTAACTGGAAAACCAAGGGCTCTCTGGAAAACACATCATATCAATCCCAAATTACAAAGAAGGACAGAGGGCAAAAAAGTTTAACTGTTCCAAAGTATCCGGTGATTTGAAAATAAATCACTGCCATGTGAAGTTCTACAGAAAAGCTGCACCATCCAGATAGGGTGTTGTCTGGAAGAAATGCAAGCCTTTTATCTGGACTCTGAAAGGAGAAGCACAAGGCAGGTGCAACTCCAAGTTGCCATGCTGTTGCTCCATTGTGTCTTAATGAGAAGGATGGCTCTGGAGCAAGGAGAAGTGTTGGATCTCTTAATAGCAAAGACTTAAAGAATACTTTTCAGAGTCATTTTTGTGGAAGATTTCTTTTCAGATGTTGGTTTACTATGCACGTGATACAGTGTATGTTGCCTAGTGTGTTAACAGGTGTCAGTGAACTTTGAACCTAGCAGGAAATATTAAGACACACTTTTTTCAATTTTTAATTCTTTCCATGGTAGAACAATACTCAACTTTTGATTCAGAACTCTTTCAAAGGTCATATATATATATATATATACACACACACACACAGAGAAGCCATTTCATAATCTTTTTTTTGCAGTGCTCTAGTCCTCTTCTATTTTTTTTAATTTCTTCTGCAAGTTGAACTCTATGGAAAGTGAACCGTACCTGTATGTTGCCAAGGGAATGGTGATTCTGCATCAGTTACAAGTCTGGTGAGAGCAGCCTCAAGCTGACACTCAGCAAAGAAGTAACTTTTTTTTTTAGGCAGAACATTAGTACATGAGTCAGCAATAACTACTTCGCTTCATGGCAGCTTGCTTGTTGAAGCTCCGAAAGCTTGGGGTAGGGGGGGCGGGGAATGTAACCTTGGTAACAGGATAATTTGTCTTAAGCCACAAAAAAAAAGTGACTTGTAAAAGAGGCAACTTTTTTTCTCTCTGCACTTCTTCCCTTTCCATGCTTCTGCCCTGAAAACCCCAGTCCCCAAAGCAGTGTTGATTGAGTTTGTCAAATTTCTTGGGCCCTCCGTTATTTTGACAATTCTGAACTTTCTGATGGCCATCTTCCAGCCTGATGGGAGACCACGGTACTATCCTGGTACCAGGGCATGAGCCAGACTCTGGGTTTAGAAACAGAAGAGCATTATTTCCCAGATGGTAAACAGTGTGTAAGTGGTCCTTTTTTTTAATACTTCAGTGGGATTCATAAAACTTGTGATACCAGTTTTGCTGCTGTGTCTCAGAGCCTTCAGCAGTCATGCAGAGCACTTGCAAGCGAACAGTCAGTGAGCAAAAGACACAACAGTCTTGTTAGTCAGCTGAGGGTCCCCGTTACTCTGAATGATTTGAATGCAAAGTAGCTACAATACTCTCTGAAGCAACATGTAATTTGAGTGAAAGAAAAGGAACACAGCTTTGAAATACAGGCAGCTCTCAGTTACCCAAGGTAGGGGGTAACTGAGCATGAGAACACACGATCCATTTGCCTCTGAGAATCATACATTGTTTTTGCAGTGGGCAGAGGATTAAACCTCTGAGTTTTAAGCAGAGTGATGCCTGGTGTGGGTGGAATCCACTCGCAGTCACAGTGGAATATGATGCAGCAGATAGTGGTGAAGAAAGTGAATTTTGTTTAACCCCTAACGCACAGACAGGTTCGGGCAGTCGTGATTCAGTCAGGAGGAACTATTGAGATATCTACAGTGAAGTGCATGGAGACTTTCAGGATCCCGATCCTCTTTCCAGGGAAATTTCTGCAAGTGCTGAGTTGATTTAGAAGCATACTATTATCGAAATGTGTCTTATGTGATTTAGCAAATATGTTTTCTTTTTCCCCACATGTTAGTACCAGGTTGTATTTGTCTTAGACTTAGAAAAACAGGAGCTCAAGAGTCAACTATCTTACCTAGAAATTATTGAGACTGGAAAGAAAAGCCATTTGCAATCTCTCTCAAGTCAGCGGACTTTCCCCAATTTACCTGATAATCAGTTTCTTGTTTTATTTTCTCCTATGCTTTAGGGGGGATGGACAGAGAGGAAGGGATCTCTTTCCTCTTGCTTTAAATAGCATTTATTTCTAACTGTGGGTGAATAAGACAAAAATAAGATAACAATATGTAACTTGAGTGTAGTTCTAAAGTTCGTGTACAGTTGCTTTTCTAACTCTTTATCAAGTAGTTGCTCTGTGTAATGAAATTTTCATTTTTGTGTGTGTTTGTGCATGTGCTTGAACTACAGTGGCCTTGTTGTCTACTCTGAGGGACCATTAAACTTGGACCATAAACCAGAAGATATGTCTGAACTCTTCAGACCTTTTCACACTCTGCTAAGAAAAATAAGGTAAATAATAAAAGATAGTTCTAACTGCTTGTCTTACGAAGTGAAAATCAGAGGCCTAAAAAAGAACACGTAAATGCCTAGAAAAGTGTTTCTGTTTGCTATGTTAACCATAAACTGCATTTTCCTCTCATCTGCCTGATATACCTGTGAAATAACTAAACGTAGTTTTTCATTTCATAGGAGTTTTCTGAACTTATAGTTTCTTTTTTTTTTCTGAATATCATTTTGTTACATTTCAGGTTTTTCTTATGGTTGGATGATGCCTGAAATACTGAAGTTGCAGTTTATTTTTGGGAGATCCTGTTTCTAATTAGCATCAATGTTTCTGTTTAGGCTTATTACATTGTCTCGGTATGTTATGATGCAATACTCAGATAATTCTTAATCTAATAGAAGTGACTATCAGTTTGTTCATATTGTGGATCTCTTTTTACAGGATGGGTCATTTTATGTATACCTCTTTTCACAGTGCTTCAGTCATGGTAACCATTGGAGATGTGGACTTTGACTCAACTTTAGTATAAAGGATATTAAAATATTTTTTTTCTTAGTTGGGGTCTTTTTACCAGCACTCCACTGGTTGACTAAAGCCAAAAGTATTTAAAAGCTAATATACTTCTCATAATCTGTACTTTCTGCTTACTCCTTACATTTCACAACACAGAAAATGAAAATCAATCAAATCAGTTTATTGCTTAGTCCATTTAATTTTCAGTTACTCTGAACTTAATGCTTGGGTTGAAAACACATTAGTAAAATGCTTGTTTATTCAATAACTACAATTTTTGGTGCAAACTTCAAAAACGGAAAAGACTGTCTCAGGTATGTTTTTGGAAAAAGTTCTGATATACTTTAAGACTTACGTCATATTTATTCTTTCAAATGAGCATTGAGAAATGTGATTTCAGTTGTCCAGCAGACAAAGTTTGTGAAGTGCTCTTAGTATCTATCAGAGCAAAAATTTAAGCAACTTGAGATGTAATGTGAAATTTTATCTGTGTCAGTCTCTGAATTGAAGGAATGTCAAGGAATTTGAATATCTGAAAGAACTGGGCTCAGAAAGATCCTTTAGTAATATTCTTGGATGATAAATACATTGAATGAAAATAACAGGTACAAGTAAGTGTGCAGTTCATGTAGGGTAATTAAATTACTTTTAAAAGTACCGAAGCTGTCTAGAATTTTTGTTATCACATATTTTTTTAACTCATCAGGGGGCAATTCCTACTCAGTGAGAATGTTCACAGAAACCTGTAAGGGAAGATGGAATGAGATTTGAGCTACTCCTCAGGGAAAGCGAGCATTTTTTTTTTTCCAGGAGTCTTTCTGCAGTCTCCATCACCAATAGTTAAGGCATGAAAATAGATTCAAGTAGTTTTTTGTTAAAACATGGTGCATCTTGTGTTGCAGTTGTGTGTCTGTTGTAAGAATATCTAACATCTTACTGCAGAATATGATCACATTCCAGTAAATATCTCCGTAAAGTTCTATAACTTTTTAGCCTACTAAATATTTTAACTCATGGAGTAACACTGTATATACAGCTGGTTTTGTACAATTACAGGTAATTTTAAAGCTGTATTATCCTAAACCATCCCTTCTGTTAAAGGCAATGATAAGCACTGTATTTATGTGGATACACATAATTAAAACTAGCAGAGAAAAATATCTATTGGCTAGGAAAATTTTTGGTGGCCTGTTGGTGGATGGTAACTTTGAAGATAGAGATTGTGGAGACTCTGAGCACAAGCAGTAAGGGTTCTTGTTTAGGTTTTGGTAAGGTTGAGCAGCAAATGATGACTTTGAATGTTTTAATTAATACCTAAGCAAGATGCTTGTGTTGATTTTTATTTTAGATATAGCACTGGTACTTTATACATCTACCAAGGCATAATTATATAGTAGTGTTATCTCTGTTCCTTTTGAACTATGACATTTTGACCATTTCTGCCAAACTACTGTAATCTGCCTAGTAAGTATACGAAGCATATCATCTGGTATATGCATAGATATTTAATTTAGATGCCTGTGACAGTGAACATTCTTGCAATAAAATACTACTTCTACTACATATACATTTGAGGCTGCTATATGGAGATTTTCAGAGGTGAGCAAACTTGGGATTTTGCAGTACTCCTTAATTCTGCCCTTTTTTCCAAGCCCTCTGCTTGCCTGGTGCTTGTTTCTGGGCCATTACAATTGATGGCAATCCCCATGGATTTTGGTGGTGCAGAATCAAGCAGATTGCAGATGAAGTGGTGCAGAATCAGAGGATCATGCCATTTTAAGTATACCGAAACCTTTCTGTATCATCGACTAGAAATCAAATACAGTATACCTGTTGTCAGAGTGTTAAAGAATGGAGGAGGGCTTGTGAGACTCGTATGCTTTTAAAGTGTGCACAGTGATTGAGGGAAAACTGGTTAGTTTTTCCAAGCTGGCCATGTTTAAAACTTTGAGTTGATTTAAAACTCTTGCACTAAAGGCCTACCAGTGATATCTGTTATATATCAGTGTTGGTTTCTCAGAGCTGCGGACTTTGGCGTGCTGAACTCAGCGCAGCACTGCGGAAGCCGGAGGATGCAAATTGCATTCCCATACCTGCGTCGCATTGTTGTGGTGGCAGCTCCATAAAGGCAGCTGTTTATGCTCTGTTCAGCGCGTGAACCGAACCACAGGCTGACTATAACAACGATGCTGTTCTCTAAAAACAGACAATTTAAAGTTCTAGTCAGAATAGGAGCAAGGTTAATGAAGAAGGCTTGGAGAATGTGAGATGAGTGCACTTGGGGTTTTGTGGCCCTGTCCTCTGTTCAGCCAAATTTGTCTTTAAATGGACATCTGGCCTCAGATCTTTTTAAGAAGTAATTCCTGCACCCTGGATATTGGCAGCAGAGTAAAATACAGTTATTGGTTTTGCAATAGGCAGAGTAAATTTCTACTACTGCTTGTAACAAGCAGAGTACATCTTGAGAACTTGCCTTGTTTTTCTGCCAGTGGCTGTAGCTACTGAAAGAAAAATGTTCCTCGTATTTTGAAGGCTAGATTGCCTTCCTGTGATACTATGCCAAAAAGACTACCAGCAGGTGAAACCCCAACATGCACCTTTTTTAAATGCAGTGTTTTCTAAAGCCTCTGTGAGGAGGAAGCGCACCGCTGCTGTCCGGGTGGATTGCAGAACCTCTCTTTACCTGCGGCTTCTGAATAATGAAAGCAGGAGAAACTCTCTTTTCCATCTGAGCACAGCACTTGCCTGGATCCAATGATGAGTTACAGACACTTTAGCAGAAAGGAAATGAACCGTGGAACTAGCTACAGTTTAATTAAACCTTATGGTTTAATAATGATGCCTGATGTTTAGTTTTAAACTTTCAGTAGTGATTTCACATTTCTTTCCATACACTGCTTGACATTGATTTTATTCACAATATCTACGTAGGCACTTTAAAACATGCCATGTTTCTAATGTTGGCAGTGAGTTCTGTATAATCTAATACACAGTGTATGAAAAACATAACTGTTGATCAAACATTCGTCACCTTGCAAGGAAATTTGTATTTGAAACAGCCCAGGGAGTCTAAGGGCTTCTTTATGCAGAGAAGTGAAGATAATTGTCCAAACCTCTTTTAGTACAAGCTGAATTTCTTAATAGCAAAATTTCTGGTATTTGAATTGGGAAATCAAGAATATTTTCTTTGAGTTTAGAGCAGGATTATTTCTCTACTGAAATAACAGGGTTGGTGGACTACCACATGTAATCCAACTGATTATGTATAGCAACTCTGCGAGGCAGCATGGATCTGACTCACCTAAAAAGACAAGACGACTGTCAGCTGATTGCGCTGACTTTTCTTTTTTTTAATCAAGCTTTATTTACTTATGCTCAAAACTGCACACAGTTGTTCTTAAATTTTGAGGTGGTGTTATTGGCAGAAACAAAGAATTCATGAAGTCAACGAAGCTAGCCAGTATAAAGTAAATATGTCTTTCCAGCACTTACTTCACCGTGAATGTGTGAAACCTGTATCGGATAGGTCTGAGCAGCCAGGCTCTCTGTGCCTGCAGAAAGGAAGCAGAGCGGCTCTGGGCACCCAGACATCCAGGAATTCTGGGTGCTGCCATGTGATGCTCTGGAGGCTGAATAAAACCCCAGACTAGATACTGAAAGCCAGAACACTTGCTCTTTGCTTTTCCCTGGGCCTATTTCATTCCCAGTTATGCAAACGAGCTTGGATGGAAAGCAAATTCCTTTGAATGTTGCTAGCGTAGTCAATATTTGTAGAATTGCTAATTCTTATCTTGTGTATTTTGAGAAGAGGGTATGACTCTGGTGTGTGGAGAAGCGTAGCAGATGTTTAAGTGGTGGACTGTTGATCAGTTCCCGACATGCAGATTTTCAAGCAAGAACAGTTCACCGAGGATTACTGAACACAAGGATGCCACCTTGGCTCGGAAATCCCCGAGCTACAGGCTGCTGGAAGCCAGCAGGATGCACTCGGCTGAGTTCACTGTGTGCTCGTCCTGTTCTTATGCTCCTCTTCAGAGAATCTGTATCAGAGACAGCTTTCTGTACTTTATGGACCCTGGCCTGACCCAGAAATATCTTATGGTTTTAATCTTTGCATGGGTGGGGGATAAGCTTAAACCCTTCACTGTTGCATTTGCATGCTTACTCTGTTGTGGGTTTTTAAATTAAAACCCCAACTGTTTCTAAAATACCACATTACTTTGTTCCTGGTTATAAAATTCTACATCACAGCATTTCTGTAAAAATTGACAAACTGAAAATTCATAATACAAAGCCTCATGGCAAAAATCACATTAATTCTGTTTTTATTGATTATATTGGTACAATTCTTTCAAAAATAAACAATAACAATACAGCTATTTTTATGTTTACCTTAAACCATTCTCTGTCAGTTTGTTTTTATGGTAAGTTAAAATGCTTAATCTCTTAGAGACTGATTACTGTTTAAATAAAAGATCTGAGTAACAAGATGGTATCATTATATAATGTTTAGACAAAAAGGAATGTACAGGTCTTTTAAAATGTTCTAGTGTGCCAATAGCAATACTGGTCTATAGCTTTATCAGGTAAGTGGCTCTAACAAAGATTGCCCATTTCCCTTTCTTACTTATTTATGACTGAAAAAATTGTCAAACTTCAGAGTTGAAGATGCATATGGAATGATTTAAATACTGACTTCTCTAATAGAGAATGTGGAAACAAGTGAAAAGGGGAGGATACAATGGTGCAGTTGTTCTTATAAGCTACTTCTGTAAGCTTAGAATTTTTTTCAGTCATATAACTCTTCTATAAAAGCATGATTTTTTTTTAAATAAAGATGTTAATTGTATGGAATGTATATAACCATAAAAATGTATATTCTATACTTATTCTGACTTAAGTATACTTATGTAAACTGTTGCCTTCTTTTGTAGGCAATTGTAGGGTAGCTGATAGACAAGTCAGATACCAGTGATGTATTTTTTGGGCAATTTGATCTTTTAGTAATAGTACTTGGAAAAATATTTGGTCTTTGAGTTAACAAGTTAAGAATGCAAACCATTGACTGGAAATCAAGATGAGAGATGTGTTGAATGTTTTTGGCATTTTTTTTTGGTCCTCTAGACTGAAGTTACTTCTTTAAGGGAATTCTTTTAAGATGTGCATTTTATTATTATTGTTGTTCTTGTTAATGTGGTTATGCCAGCTGTATGTCATACAATGCTAGCCAATGATTTCTAAACACATGAGGAATAACGGAATCCTAGCCTCTGTTTAAGCAGAAAATCTTGCTTTTCCATCCATTCATTTATACTAAAATATACTTGCTGGTCTCTGAAAATGTTGACAGCAGCTCTTGACAGAGGGTATTTTTATATGTAGTTTCTAATTGAGAAGCACAGTAAAATCAAATTCAGACTTAAAATCAAGTGCTGCTGTGTCTATGGATTTGTTTTGAAGTTATAAAGCACTTAAGCATAGCAGCCTCAAATAACACTTTGTTTTTAGGTGCTCATAGTCCTAAATTGCAATACTGAGGGTAATTGATAAGATTGGGGATGCTGCATGTCTCTAGAAAACATAGTTTAGTAAATACCTAAACATTTGTTTTCAGGCCTGCCTGATTCTTAACATTATGCAGAGGCTTAGCCCCCTAATGACTGAGTTATGTGTTTGAGGCAGGAGAGCACCGACTTCCAATCCCTGTTTCAGTGAACAGGCTTCTAAGACATCAGTGTTGCATAAGTGATATTACTATTTTTAATGAATTTTATTTATCTGACAATATCATGGTGTGAAACTTCTCTGGTACCCTCTTGCAGAAAAATTTTCAGAACCTAGTATGAAGGATGACAAATTGGTTTGTTACTCAAAGTTAAATTTGTGAATTAAAAAATTAAAATGACAAAACATATCTAATTGTGGGTAACACTTTTACTATAAGTAGGTGGGGAGAGGGAAAGATCAATTTATGGGTGTCTTTGATTTATCTTGTGGCTTCCTGCAAAGATGTAAATAATTTGGTACCCTGAATTTGAACGAGTAATCTCAAATTCAGGCATCAGCAATCATATCTTCTGAATATAAATGCCAAATGCACCTTGCATTACACAGCTAAAAGTAGTCTGTGCCTCCAAGTTCTGGATTTCTGTACTAACAGTAAAAGCTTTTCTAAAATCTGTAACATCGATGCCTCCTATGACTGTAAATGCCGAGTGATGTGCGTATTCCTTCATTTTCAGGGATCTACTTCAGACGTTAACTGAGGATGAACTGCACACACTGGAACGTAACCTCTGCATCTCTCAAGATGTGGATTTTCCTGTCAGAGCGGATCCTGAAGTACCCTCTGTCATTGCACCGGGCATAACTGCAACTTTGCCTGCTAAGGAGCTTTCAGCAAAAGCTGAAAACACAGAGGCTGAGCTGGCTTGTTCTATGCAGTATGATGAACAGGAGCTGGAACAGCTGAATAGGATGGTACACAGAGTCGGAGATGAAATGTCGTCTCTGCTTTCCCCTCCAAGCATCTGTCAGTCTCCAGCTCACAGACCTACCCTAAGAAATAGTTCTAGCACAGAAGCTTCACCAACAAGGCACCATCTTGACAATTTAACTGATGAAGAGGACAGAGTGTTTTTTATGGATGACCTAGATGGAGCAGGAGAAGCTCTTGCTGGGTTGGATTCAGTAAGTGATACTTTTGCTTGGGTGAATAACCCTTGCCACGATTCAAAACAGAACCTGCAATACAGAGACGCTTTGCTGTACGAGAATGGCCATCAGACAGAGGAAACTTTGCTTTTAAAAGATGCTGAAAGTGACTTAAGCAATAATAACAATATTGAAGATAGCAAACAGATGTCTGGCATCTCAGTTCAGAATTCATGCAGCTGTCTAGAAGGTCCGGACTCACAGTTATACCTCAATGGCTGGGATGCATACGCTGATGATGCGGAAATGGCAGAAGTGATAGCTCACAGGACAGGGGGAATGAAAATATCTGCTACTGTAATATTCAATCCTAAATCTCCCTCTAGTTCAGAATCCCCAGTAACAACTCCAGAAGCAGCTATTAGTTGTGTTCCTGGGTCTACTAATCCATTAGCAAATGAGGAGGAAGATGAATCCCATAAACTGAGTATAGCTGCCACAAACTGTCTAATTAATTCCTGTGTGTGTTGTGGCAGCTGTGAAGACAGCAGGGAGGACAGTGTTGAAGGTTTAAAGACTAAACATTCTGCAGGAGGTGTTGTAAATGCTTCATACACGTTAGTAAAGTCTAAGGAAATAGACCATGTAGATAACTTGGACAATTCAGTCCCTGCACAGGAAACATTAAAACCTGAAACTTCTGCTTTGTTAGCAGAAAGAGACTTTGGCAGAGAAGAGCAAAAACTGCCATTCTCCTCTAAGTGCCTGGCACATTCCTCAGGTTCACAGGTAGGAGCAGAAAATGACTCGCAAGGAGAAGCAGAAAGCATCTCAAATCAGCAGAAGTGGGAGAAAAGAAAACAACTATGTGAGAAAAAACAGGACAACAATGAAGATGCTGGTGGTGAAAGGACAGCAAAGGAAGATGTAAAGTCAAGATCTAGTTCAAGGTAAGAGCAACTTGATGTTTTGGTAGTAACATGCATGAAAATCAATTCCTATAACTTTAGTGGTTGGTGTATAATTAATGTTGATTTTAAAACAGTGTTTTCCAGGATTAAAGAATTTTTCAATATACATTTTTTAAATGAAAGTAGCTTTGTTGGACTTCATCACCTTTTTTGGAAAACATTTGGAGTACACCTGAATTTTAATCATACAATGTCTCTATATCATTGAAATCTAATCTTACCAGTTTAATGTAACAAAGGGTGCATTGCTGCTAAACATTACCTGGGTCATTACCTCTGTTGTACTCTGCTGTTTTGCAGGAAAAGTGTGTCTGGCAGATACTAAAAAGTTGACTCCTGCATCAGTACACAGGATTAAATTGGGATCTGAGCACATCTCACCTTAGCTTCATTTGAGGGAACAGGGTTGATCTGATATGTTGCCTGTGGGCATGAGTGTATTTGAATTTCTGTGTGCTGAAGGAGCCTAATAAAGTGCAGAAGTAGCTTCTAAACCTACTGGACCATTTCAGCCAAAGCTGACAGCAAAATAGAGGTCATGGATTAAGGTTCTGCATATTTAATGACAGTAAGGATCTAGATAAGAGAGACACCGCAATAATAGTTGTGTTAAAGAAAATGCTATGTTTCAGCCCAGCTTTGATTAGACATTAGGGATCCTACACACATCAGTAGGATACCAGACTTCATTTTTGTTTACTACTTAAAGGATAATCTGATTTGTAGTGAATCATGCCCTCAGTTCTATGAAGTATTAACATCATAAAGCAGAGGGAAGAAATTAAATAGAAGTTCTTGTTTTCTGTATTTCTGTGACAGTTTTCTTCCTTTGTGCTTTGCTGTGTCAGTACTGTGGAGATGGTGTGTGTGATGCAGGATCTCTGTTACATGTGTATAGAGTTCAGGGTAGTGCAATGGGGGTAGCTTGAACCATGAAGCATTACCACAATATAAGGGCTACAGAAATAAACATTTGTTTAATAACATACCACTTGCTTTATGAAATATTTTACTGGTATTGGAAATAGAATCAAGAATTCTTTGGGCCAGAGTTAATTCCCTTTACAGGTAAAACACAACTTACCGTGCACAGAACTCAACTTTTGAGAAGGTAATTTTATCTTCCTCATTATTCTGAGTATTTGCCATCTTGGGCTTGCATGTATGATCATATTCAAGGCCTTACAACAGAAATTGAGTGGGCTTCATTTTAGGAAGCAAATCACAAATCCCTTTGACATTTCATGCTTTCATAACACTTTAAGTGGAATATCAGTTAAGAGTAATTACTGTATGGTTAATTTACAATGTCCTGATAAATCATACATTGTTTACAAAACTCAGACAACTTGTCTACTAATTTTTTCCTTGTGTATGATATTAAGTAAAATTCGTGAGAACAAGTCTGCAAAATATATATAAGCTTCTTTTTCAGCCTCCCATCATTTGTGTATGTAATAACCTTGTGTCCAGCTTCCATTAATATTGTGTAAAAACTTTGTATGAGAATTGTCCTTCTACACAGTTCTGTAGGTCCACGTTCCTCTGTGTCCTTTTGTTTACTCTTGACCTAGTTCTTAACAGCGTCTCTGAACAGGTCCTAGATCCTGCTTGGCCTCTCTGCACTAATTGTGATTTTGTAGACCTCAGTCACACTTTGCCTATGTGGTTACTTTTTCAGGTTGGAAAAGTCACAGCCTACTTGATCATTCTTTGTCCAGAAGTTGTCCATAGCTTTGATCATACCTTTTGTCTTTCTCTAAACCTTTTTCAATTATACTCTTTAGATTAGATGTTAGGAAGAAATTCTTTACTGTGAGGGTGGTGAGGCACTGGAACAGGTTGCCCAGAGATGCCCCATCGCTGGAAGTGTTCAAGGCCAAGTTGTATGGGGCTTTAGGCAATGTGGTCTAGTGGAGGGTGTCCCTGCCCATGGCAGGGGGGTTGGAACTAGATGGTCTTTGAGGGTTCTTCCAACCCAAACCATTCTGTGATTCTGTGATTCTATGATTCTCTTGGCATTAAGTGAATCTGAACTACGCTTACTCAAGATATGAGTAAACCATGGATTCGCATAGTGGCATAATTATTTTCTGTTGTTTTTCCAATGGCTCCCAATATTTGACTTTGAATTTTTTTGCCAAGTGGTGAGCTGATGTTTTTTTGAAGTTGTCTGCCAAAGACCCAAGCTCCTGCTTGTGAGTTTAGAGGCTGTCATTCTATATCTGATGCTAAAATTGTTCTCCCTGTGTTTACTAGTTGAATCTCATCTTGCCATTTTATTATCTGTTTTTCAGACTTCAAGATCCCGTGCAGTTTTTCAGTCTGCTCTTGTTATTACCCTGAATAATTTTGCTCTGGTAGCAACCTTTCAGACCTCGTTGCTCTCCCCATCTTTGCAGATCATACATGAAAGTAAACCCCCAGGGTCCTACAGAACTTAAGGAATGCCATCCCGCTCATGTGAGAAATGGTTGTTTAACAGCCCCTCCCTATTTATTTTAAGAATTATTTATCTATTTTGGGCCCCTTCCTCTTATGCTATTGCTCCTTAGTTTTCTTAAAAGCCTTTAGTTGAGGTGTTTTGACAGAACCTATATGGAAATCCAGAGGCTGCCTACTGTTCTTCACAAGCTTCTTGACCCCTTCAGAGAGCTCCCAAGAGGTTCCCTCTGCAGAAGCCATGTTACTTCTTCCCAGTCAGATCTTCCTATTATGGTGTACCTATTTTAGCTTTGCATATATTCTGTTAAGTTCCTTGGTACAAACATCAGGCTGACAGAATAAGAGTTGTTTGAATCCCCTTGGAGTCCTTTTTATTTTTAGAGATTGCCATCTTTAAACTCGAGGCATCACAGAGGTTTTAAATGAGACGTTAATAATTCATCTGATAACTCATTCTTGAGTTCTCCTAAAACTCTTGGGTGAATATTTTTTTAATATTTTGTTAACAAGTTAGTGGGTTTTGTCTGTTTTAACCATAGCCTCTTCCACAGTTACTTTGATTACATCTAATTCTCTCTATTCGTTATTGAGACTACAGTACATCTGTTATTGGCAAATAGTCCATCTTTGGACTATTTAATAGTCTTTTGCAGAAGCAAAGATGGAGGTATTTTGTTACTAGATGGTCGTTCCTTTATTTGGAAATGTTCCGCTATTAACTTTTTCAGTATATTCTGAGAGACAGAAATGCTGGGGATCTACTGAGGACTAGATTAAAAAATTATATGTGTGTAGATCCTTAGTTTTCTCATATATCTATATATAGTTCTTGCCTCTGAATCACTAGTCATGTTATCAGTAAAAGAGAGAATTCAGTTACAAAACTGAACTTTGTGGACCTTTTCTTACTCATGCTGCCTGGGCGGTGACTAATCACTGCTCTTCAATGGTATTTTTAAATTGGAAGATCACATTAGGCTTCTCTGACTGCTCCCTATTACATGCTTGTCAATGCCAACTTAACCATAGGGGAAACGTTGGAGACAGTAGATTATTTTCAGAATGATGGACCCATTAGCTAGAACAATAAGCAATCTAATATACATGGAATAGCTGCAGGATATGCTCATTCATCAAATTGATAAATGTATTTACTTTCTAGTTACTGTAAGTCACCAACTAGGAAAATAAAATTTTCTTTCCCTTGTCTGAATCAAGCAGCTGTCAAATGCGTACATTTTGACACAAACTTTCTTTTAGTAAATCAGTTCTTAAGCTATGCAATATGACATTATTTATAGGTGTAATTTCAACAAGCCAGTCAGGTTTACTGTAATTAATCCTGTAAGTCTGAAATACGTGCTATTTCAGGCTTCTCTATCTAGCCTCGATATTCAGTGGAGTTTAAAAATCAGATGAAATACTCTTCTACTTAAGATTTGTCTATTGATATGTCTTTACAGCTTTGGTTTTTAAGTCATATTTGGTGTCTTGCTCCATTATTTGCTTCTAAGTACCTTGAAGACATAAAACACAAAGGGCACAGAGAGTCTTGGGCAGTAGCATTAATAAGATGCAAATGACGAGAAAAGCACTAGCAAAGATGTAGTCAGGATCTGATCTGCTACAGGGACAATGTGATAAGTAAAGGCTGTCATGTAGCAAACCAAATTGTTAAAGCGGGGAAATAATGTAAGAATAATAGGGAAGATGATAAAAGTATGACAAAGCAGCATTTGGTGGTTTGGGGTAAAAGAGGGCGTAAGTTAACAACAAAACCAAGCTGTAGACCTGTATCTAGTATTCCTTCTTTTTCCACTGGAAGGAAGTAATACAGATCTTTAAAATGCTCATTCGGTCATATTCTGCCTGCTTCTAAGGGGAAAGAAAATTACAGAGAGTGAAGATCGTGGGGTTTTTTTGGTGTTTTGGAAATACTTGGCTTTCTATTCCTTCCAGAGTTGAAGAGTCCTTGTGAAACTGCTAATTCTACATGTTTTATGAAGTTTGGCAGCTTGTTTCATATTTTCACGCAATGCTAGTGTTTTCATGTCTTAGTCTGAAATACCCGGTTCTGTTGCATGTTTGTTTACCTACATACTGTCATTAAAATAGCTCTGATAGAAGAAAGGATTCTTAAGTGTAGTTTCTCTCTTTTCTGCTGCAGGTTTATTATGTCTAGCTTAAATTATACTTCTTTTGTTGTTGTTGTTGCTATTTTCCTTGATATATATGGTGAGTGTACTCTTGAGGAAGCCTTTTACAGTGCACCTGAGAATTGGCAAAAAGAGCTGAAATTGGTACTGAGAACTTACCATCTTCACACTTTCTGCAAGCTCTAGCTGTGTCCATCGGCTGTTAGATGCTGGCGCTGTTCACGTTTATTTGTGGGGGCTTAGAAAATAGAATATTTTGCCATATGCTTTTGCAGTGTAAAGAGGAGGAATGAGGCATCCTTTGAAAACCACGTTTTGCTGTTTGCTGATCTGTATTGCAATTCTAGAATAAGATGAATAATTTAATCTTCTCCGCTT